GGTAGTTCACATTTCAAAAATATTTTTATAGATATACAGGGTGAGTCAAATATACAGGGTCCGGCAATAGTGCGTCGGGCAGCTGTAACTTCTAGAATAAAAAACTTGAGAATTTTGTTTAAGAGAAAACCTAGAGTATGTATGAGGATTTATTTCCTGAAAATATTTTAACTTCTATAGGGTGGCTCAAAAAAGTGTGAGTGGATCTGGATGATTTTTTTTAAATAGAACACCCTGTATATTATTGCATTTTTGGCTTCCTTTCAGATCAGTTTACATAATCCTAAGATATCAGTAAATCTATTTCGATAGTTTCAGAGATATTAAAAAATAAATCAAAAATATATATTTTTCAACTCTTCTTTAAAAAAATATTAAACATACAAGAACTGTTCTGAAATCAAAACTATATTAGACATTTACTTTAGATGGTCTGTTCTTACTTTGCTATAATTATGGTAATCGTAAATCATACAGGATGTTCAATATTTTACGCCAAACTTTCAAAAATATAAAATAATTTTTCTTCGTTTTTTTAAATGGAACACCTTGTATATTATTTTTCTATTTGATGGAGAAATAAAAAATGAATTTTCCGGATACACGCAGTATTATTTCATATTATGGCGCTGTCAATGGTAAAATACGAGAGAAAAATCATCGGGTGGCTTTGATAAAAATTTACTGTGGAAAATGCCATATAAAATACAAAACCGGGAATATCTGCGAAACCGTTAAACATTTTGAAATACTCTAAATGCAAAAAATGTTCATTTTTTAATTTTCCATCTATTGAAAGAATAATATACAGGGTGTTCCATTTAAAAAAACAAAGAAAAATTATTTTATATTTTTGAAAGTTTGGCGTAGAATTTTAAACATCCTGTATGATTTACGATTTATAAATATGGCAAAGTAAGTACAGACCATCTAAAGTAAATATCTAATATAGGTTTGATTTCAGGACAGTTCTGGTATTATTAATTATTTTTTTAAGAAAGGCTGAAAAATATATAATTTTTATTTATTTATTAATATCTCTGAAATTATCGAAATATATTTACTCATGTCTTAGAATTATGTAAAGTGATCTGAAAGGAAGCCAAAAATGCAATAATATACAGAGTGTTCCATTTAAAAAAATGCATCCCGTCAAACCCACTCACACTTTTTTGAGCCACTCTATAGAAGTCAAAATATTTTCTTGAAATGCATCCTAGTACATACTTTAGGTTTGCACTTAAACAAAATTCCCAAGTTTTTTATTTTAGGAGCTACAGATGCCCGACGTACTATTGCCGGACCCTGTATATTATTATTATATAATAATAGCTCCCGTATATAGCGTTTAACGCCTTGGAAGTAGCAAGGTACAGCTTGCCATGCTAGAGCCGTTCGGTATACAAGGAAGGGAATGTGGTTAGCACTACGCTTCAACAGCCTATTATTACCTCAGGATTGTGAATCCCAAGTACTCATTTAAGGCTGAGTAGACCTAAGTACCCAAACTATTTTTATTTTAATAAAAATAGTCGGCTGATGAAATGCCGGGTGTGGGAATCGAACCCACACCTTGAGATTGGTAGACGAGAGCCTGTACCTCTACGCCACCGGGCACCTTATTATTATTATTATTATTATATTATATTATTATTAATTATATCTATATTTGTTTAGTTCATTAATTTTGCTATAAAATTCCGGTTCAAAAATACCTTAATACCATAGAGTCAATCTAGACGTCCAGGAACCTTCGTATGAGAACTTTTAATCGAGACGATCGACTTATTGTAAGTTTATCGCTAAAGAAACGCCGTTTGCCAGCTTTTCAAATTGGTAATGAATTGCACTTAAGAAACGTACATATTAACTAACGGACTATAAGAAGATTAAATGAAGCAAATCTTTTGCTTCGGGACCAGAACTTACGAGATGTGTTGACTAGGTCCAAAAGCAAAGGCATGGTCTTAACGTAAAAATTACGAAAAAATGTTAGTGCCTTTTTCAAAAGCGAATATTTCCAACAAAAATAAAGCTAATGAGATGAACCAAAAAACAAACCATCGAGAAAGGATGTATCTAGATGATAAAATTATTTTTAAATTTTTTGCGATTTTACCATATTCCACAGGGTGTTTCAAACTTTCACCAAAATATCAACATTTTGTTTTCCCTCATATAATTAACAGATGTGGAGTTTCATTTTTAAATTAGAAAAATATACTAAAAAGTCAAATAATTTGGCTACACACTGCTTAAAAAATCATCAAAATCGGCCCATTGAAACAAAATATATCACCCTTTAAAATACATCAAAGTTTTAAGGTGCCCATTTTTCTGCCGGTGAATGTATTTCAAAAACTATACATTTTAGTTATATACTTTTCTAATGAAACATACCTTTATTTTTTCACTAGAATCCAAAAATCAATTAATATATAGGGTGTTCCATTACAAAAAACATAACTTTGATGTGTAACTTTTTTTGGGTACACCCTGTAGAACTCTACATCATTTTAGAAAATGCTTTAAATTGACTTACATAAGCTCACAAAATTTCACTTCAATATAAACTTTTGTTCTCCTTGCAAAAACCGCGTCGTATATGTCGCGCCACCCTGTATAATTCGATTTCAATCAAAATTTCAATTTTTAGAATAGGTATAAGCAGAATAGGTATAGCTAATGCATTAGATTTATTTACTTCAATAAATTTACTTAGAAAAAGAATTAAAAATATTAAAAAATTATGAAGGAAATAATTAAGAATTTACTAAAATTACTAAAATTAAAAATTAAAAAAAAGCAACGAAAAAAAATGGGTAAACATTTTAGTATTTTACCTATAAAACACAATACAGAAGGTTTCACATTAATACATTCACAATAATTGAATTCCGAGGTAAAAGTCTCTGTGCACTCCACTAATAAGCATATCATTGATTGATAGGACAAATTGTTTAATAACTTGGCTAAAAATTAATATTTTATGATGATTCAAAGTTCATTTAAAAGGCAGAATCAACAGCTATCATATTTTCGAACTTGTTTGAATTTTGTCATATTTTATGTTAATAAAAAACCGGGCAAACTTTCCTTAACCCAAACGACGCCGACGCCTCAGTATCAGTAGACTTTGAAAAAAAAGTTGTTTTGCCAAATTAGTATAAACGTCAAAGCGTTATTGATTTAACATTTTGATAGTCTCAACACAGCGTTTTAAAAGTTTTCAGTAAAAGTTACCCTATAATAGGTAACACGTTGGTGGAAGTTGAAACTAATAATTTTTTTAAGAACACTGAATCCCTTCCATATTTAAGCTAATCCATTCATCCTTAAACTACAAAAAGACGATAACAAAACAGAAAAACTAAAATTAAAATATTTGTTTTTATACTTAACCTCAAAAGACGTCAAGCATCTAGCCTGTCCTGTAACTAATATCTGTAATCAATCGACGCGAAGATGCACCTTATGATGGCTTTGGTTTCAATTTATTTTTTCGTGATTGTCTAGTTTTTTTTTAATTTTCATACAAATTGGACTGCTTCGATTGTCTTGATGTTAAAATTGAATATCTCACGTTAAATTTTCAGTCAATTACTGTGTGCCAATTATCTCTAATCGTAATTTCAGTGTAGTAATTTATCACCAGCTGCTGATAATCAAAAACCGAAGAGAATTTGGTTTCCATTGATTGATAGCATTCACTAGAAGAAGAAATTCAAACAAATTTCAAAGCTATTTATTGAATTTCAGAACTTTTACTGGCGTAGTGCTAGCAAATCAGTGAATGTCTGCTTTTACTACTGATTGTTCAACTTCCACGTACCACATCGCGCACTTCCACGTAGCACATCATGATTACTCAGAGATACGGCGGCGCTTCAAAATTCTTGAATTGGAAAAGAGACGTACTCTGTCTGACATTTTAACTTTGTTTAAGATCATTAATAATCTGTCTAGCTCTCCAAATATCCTATCGAGAGTTAAGATTAATGTGCCTGTCCGTGCGCTGAGGGGTCATGACCTCTTTTGGGTTCCATATTGTAGGACCAATTATTACCAGAATGCACCATTGGTGAGGATGGTTAGGGCTGCTAACTTGTATTGTTCTGATTCTGAACTGGATTTTTTCAATCAAAATCTACTAACCTTTAAGAATAGGCTTAAGTTGAAATTGTTAGAGTAGACCGATCTCCTGTCCTGTGATAATATGTATATATAGACTACAGGGACCTGTAAAACGCACTACCTCTATGCTTTGTATTAATTAAGAAATCTAAATATATTGTAGATGTTACTTGTTTTATAACTTATAATATTGTTAATGGAAAATTATTGTAAACTGTAATATCAGGATACTAGTTTTGGACTTTTGTTCCGTTTGTATCCTAAAGACTGAAATAAATAAATAAATAAAAACATTCACTGATCGCTGGCTTTTAATGTAACATATACAGAGTGAGTCTTAAATAAGTGCAAATATTTTCAGGTCTGGTATATCTCGATAAAAGGAATATATTTTCTCTTTACCGTTTTTATAATAAGTCCAAAATAATCGAGTTATTCAAGTTTGAAAATTAAAAAAAAATCATCAAAAAAAATTGAGAGCTACCATCATTTATTAATCGCATCCCCCCCACTTATACCGCGAGAAAATTTGTACTAAACAGGCAATTATAAAATTTTTTCTAAAATATACAGAAAAATTTAAAGAAATGCGCGATTTTCAACACCTTCTTTTAGGCGAAAAAATCTCATAGACGTGCTCCTTGGGTCGAAATATACCACCCTAAAAATATTTGCACTTATTTAAGACTCCTGTATAACGAGAAGGATTGAAGAACTGTTTCTATAGATCCAAGAAGACCAAAAGACACATCGTAGGCTATAAATGTAGTTTATAATAATACTATATATATATTTTACGATAATGTTGTTTTGTATATTTTAGAATTTAAAGTATTTTGCTCTAATAAAATATTGATCAAACTTACCAATTATCTAGCTGACTGTACAGCTGGTAGTGGAAATCTGAAATAAATTCTAATGTTATGTAAATTAAAACAATGAAAAGATATGTTAAAAAGATATATGCGCGTTATAGAAATACTGGTAAAATGTCGATTGGAAAATTTAACTTGCAAACTGAGTTACGACTTTAAAATACGGTTAGCGTAAATAAATTTATTCAGACCTAAATACGTTTTATATTTTGCAATGAGAAAATTTTCCGGAAACCGATATATAAAAGAATATAACCGGTAAATATTATTTTTATTAAAATCGGGTCGAGGTAATTGTAAATTGGGTTCGAGTTGTGTGAGCAAACCATACAACAAACTTTTGGCGGGAGACAGAAGATGAAAGAGCTAGAATTTAGCTGGTGCAATACCAACATTAAAAGCAGGAAAGCAGTAAGATACATGGGAGTTTGGTTAGATAAAGACTCAGGGATGGTAAGGGATCAGGGATCATAAAGCAGCTATCCAGAGTTATGCCTAATCTGAAGGGACCGGTGGCAGAAAAGAGGAGGATACTAGCCTCGGTAGTGTCTTCCACGAATCTGTATGCGTCTCCCATATGGGAGAGGGCTCTAAAATATAAACTCTATCAAAATACCGTATGATCGAATAAAAACGGCGTCAACGATGGCTGTGAAATGAAGATCGCTGTCATTTTATATGTAAAATTATATGGGAAATGTAATCGATCGTCATTTCCAAGCCAACTGGACGCCGTTTTTTTTTCGATCATACGGTATCTTAAACTCTATAAATCGTAAATGGCGCTGAGAGTAACATCTCCATATAGAACATCTCTTACTAAGGCCATTCTGGTCCTAACCGGTATTCCACCGATAAAGCTGCAAACAGAACAAAAGAGTTTAGTGTATAAACATGGAGACCAATTCAGATTTCAGGCCAGAAATATTATACTGGACGTAAAGTATGAAGTATGGGCTAAAACATTTATTTTAGATGTAAGGTTCTGGGTAAACTGCAAGGCGATTAATATAGACCACTTTGTGACACAAGCCATTACCGGACACGGGATACTACCATAGTTTAAGGAAAAGAGTAGTAGTAGACATTTGCTCTTATTGTGATAATGTGGATAGCCCGTGTCATACAATACTTCTCTGCTCTAGGTAGCAATAGCGATAACAGAAGAAACAGAAGAAATATGCCAAACGAAGCTGGAGGAAAGCACAGTTGGTATCACCATTGGTGAAGATGAAGAAAAGTGCCGAGCCATCATATCAATGCTGAATACAATAATGAAATACAAAGTAGACGATGAGATTAAAGCTAAAAATCCAAGATTATACTGTAATATTATTGCCTGTGATAAAGAACTAAACTTTGATAAAAAACTGATTGTGATATGACTAGAATGATAAGGAAGATATGTGTGTATATGGAAATGAATAGTTTAGAAATCGATAAGTAACTGAGGATCACCTACTATCCCGATATCATGTTTTACGGAAGTTCTAGGATAGTTAGGGTTACGTAGAAAAGATAGGTTTTCAGTGGGTAGGCAAAAAAGAAATTATTTTTTTTCTGGTTAATGTGTACCTATAGGAAGTGAAAATGAAGATGAATACAGATAGATTTATTGTAAGATAGGGTAGTGTGGAGCTTATCTTAAATAGGAACTATCGGAAACAAGAAATAGCCATCATATTCAAGGAGACTTAAGAGCAGGGTTCGGAAAACTACATGTTACTCTTAAAAACTACATAAACTATATTACATGTACAGATGGTTCCAAAAAAAAATGAATATGACTCTTTACACATTTTTTTAGAATATTTGGGCATTTAAGTGTTAATTATTTTGGCATGTTAAGGTTATTGTGACATTGTATAAAACAACTTTTCTTTTGACAAAATCGCAAATAAATTTTTCAGAACGTCAGTATGACATGAGTAGAGAAATGGGGGACTGGTATCATAGAATAGTAACAGTAAAAGTTATATTGCTGTGTAACACCAAAGGTTCCAACCCACAACTGTAATATTCACATCTTATGATTTAGATCCCTCATAAAACGGAAAATTATTAAACTGATGACCATATTATAAATCAGGTTGAAAAATACCGTATGATCAAAAAAAAAAACGGCGTCCAGTTGGCTTGGAAATGGTGATCGATGACATTTCCCATATAATTTTACATATAAAATGACAGCGATCTTCATTTCATAACCATCGCTGACGCCGTTTTTTTTTCGATCATATTGTACTTTCTACAAAGTCTTGACAAAGATTACTAACTAGGTGATTATCTTATAGATATTTTATATTTGTATTTTAGTTGTATTAAAATGTTTTGAATTATCATATTTTATAATAATTTTAATATATTGTGTTAACCATTATATTCTGTTTCTTATGAATGTATAAATAATTCTTTATTAAATAAAAAGCCATATGCATTACATTATTTCTATCGAAATTAACCTATAGGATATTTTTTTCGTAATATCAATACGTAGTTTATTAAAGTAGTTTTTATGTAGTTAATGAACGGGAAAAAGGTAGCTTTTGAAGAAGAACTACACGTAGTTAATCAGGTAAATTATGTCTTAATTAACTACTTCCGAACTCTGCTTAAGAGTGATCAACTTAGTAACCATCAATTCAAAGTTGACAAAAAAATGCCTAGAAAATTTAAACAAATTAGCCAAAGAAAACAAAGGCCTCCTACTCTGGGTGCCAGACCTCCAAGGGATAGAAGATAATGAAAAAGCAAACGATATAGCTAGATAAGAAGTGAACACTCCAATGATTGGATCAAATCCCTTCTGCTTCCCAAGTGGAAACCAACTTAAAGTAGAACTCAAGAACCTGGAAGACGTCATCCGTGATCTGAAATAGGACTTCTACAACGTTCTAAGATACTCGAAGATATTTCTCAGGACTTACGACCGAGAAAAATCGAAGATTTTCCTTGAAACAATCTTCGGATTGTCACGAGGTTTTTAACAAGACATTGCCTCCTCAATGATTACTTCAGTAGATTGAAGCTAAGAAACAACGCAAAATGCAGATACTGTAGGGAAAACGGGAAAACACCAGAACACACCATCACTTAGAGCGCCTAGACAACAACCATTTGTGCCATAAACTTTGGTGGGACTAATATCGGAGATGGAGAACTAACTTCTGTAAAGCCGTTTTAGAAATTGGCTTTGTTAAAGCCCTGAGACTGTATGATGAGTTATAAATCAAGAAAGGGGAACATAATAGATCACGGTGATTAGCTTCCCCCCTCTTATACAATCTACAATCTGGAGACAATATTCAATTTGTTGACCTGACCGTTAGGTCAACCAAGTTGAACCTGTGTGGACCGCTTATGAATTAGACTAGTCTAAACATAGTTAAATTAAAAGAGTTATTTTTACAAGCACATAAATAAAAAAACACAATATTAAAATAGAAGAATGTAGCTACATTTTTATAAGTTGTGTATCACAATTGGCACAGGTGGTCAATTTAAATAAAAGGTTTATTGACGTTACCACACACGCGGTGCTGGCAATTTGAATCCATAAAATAACTTTTATTATTTACTGGTCAAATAAACCGTTTGCTGGATCCGGCTTAAATAAAGGAATCTTTTATTGGCCGCAATATAAATTTTACTGGAAAAATCTGTTGAGTTTTCAACGAAGTGCCTCTTGCTCAGTTTTATGATCCGCAACTGCCAGAAAAACAAATATCTCAATGGCTTTCTTGAGGAGGTAGAAACGATGTTGCTGACAGTTTGTGTAAACAAAGTAAAATTTACTTAAAAACAAAGTGCATATATTTATCACGTTCACCTTGGAAAATGCAATAGAATGGCTTTCCAGATGGTATATTTTATTCATTAAATAATTTGCTTTGAAAGGTTTAAGCCTACTCAACAAACAATGCTAGCAAGAAAGCGGAAACAGCATTTCAATTATACAGGGTGGTCCGAACTGTATAATTGTATATTTATTATTATATAGTTTCGGAGATACAGGGTGTACAAGTTTCATTTTTAATTCGATTTTTTCCAAATCATTTCTGATATAAGGTCAATATTTAAATAAAAATCAGTATTTTGGAATTTTTTGACATGAGAAATTCAATTTTCATGTCAATATGACTCCTACTTGTAGAGGGCACCCTACATGTATTTTAACTGCTTTGAGGAGTAATAACTTGTTGTCCGTTCATGTATAAAAATACTGTGTAAAAAATTATACTTTTACATGATTTTTTACGTAAAAAATATATCTTGGTAAAAATCGCTACGGGCTACCGTTTTCCAGATATTTAGAATGGGAATAGTCAATACATGTCATTATTGACAAAAAATAAATATGTTGAGTAGATAGTTATTTGACTGAAATGATAAATTTGGGAACTTTTTATTTTTTTAAATTAATTATAATTTTTTCTTCGAAAAAATGATAATAAAACAGTTTCTGTTGAAGTTTTGGCACAAAAACATTTCAAATTTATGATTCCAGTCTAAAAACTATATTGTCAACATGTTTAATTTATGTGAATAACGACAGGTTTGATAATTTCGATTCAAAATATCTCTAGAACCACTACTCGTAACGAGTTTTACAAAGATACCTTTTTTACGTAAAAAATGTCGTAAATGTCTATTGTTTTACTCACTTGTTTTATACAGGAACAGACGAAAAGTTATTACTTTTCAAACCAGTTCAAAATATGTAGGTGGCGCCCTGTATAAGTAGGAGTCAAATTGACATCAAAATCAAATTTCTCATATCAAAAAACTCCCGGACAACAATTTTCATCCAAATATTGATGGTACTTAGAAATTATTTGGAAAAAATCGAAGTATTATTTTTTTATAGATATTATTATTGCACCAACATCATATAAAATATATCAAATTAATTAAAGTAATGCTACATTTTATACAGTACATCTGTCCGTTCTGTAGCTACGCAGTATCCGTGAGAGGGGAAACGATATCTCTCGATGTTTTTTGTAAAAAATTAGACGACGCGTCCCA